GAAACGTTTCGCAACGTTTCTTGCATGTAACATTGTTCTCGCCATTTCTTGCAGTGTTCTATTCTTCCTTTCAACCACTCCATTTTGTTGAGGAGTCTTAGGTGCAGAATACTCATGGACAATCCCATATTTATTGCAGAATTCTGCAAACTGTTCATTTTCAAATTCTCGCCCATGATCACTCCGAATTCTCTGAACACTACCTTTTCCATTTCGGAGTTGCAGCCATAAGTGTTCGAATACACCCAATGTTTCTGACTTCTCTCTTAAGAACCTGACCCAAGTAAAACGTGAGAAATCATCAACACATACAAACACATACCTCTTTCCTCCAAGACTCTCCGTCTGCATTGGTCCCATCAAATCCATGTGCATCAACTCGAGGATTTTAGATGTGTGTATCCCATCTATCATTTTATGATTCACCTTAATTTGCTTTCCAAGTTGACATGCTTTACGCACCAGTGTTACCTGCGAGGATAACTCAGGTAATCCTCGTACAACATTTGACCTTGACAGCTTTACCAACGACCTTGTGTTAATGTGTCGCAATCGTTGATGCCATAACTCCAGTTCAGAGTCGACTGCTGTGAAGCACTTCTCACTTTGAGTGCTTTCGTCAGGATTTACCCAAGTGTAGCAATTGCTGGGAGTTCTTTTTGCTGTCAACACACAATCTCCAAAAAATCACACAGTTCACTGATGCTTATGAGATTTGCCTTGAGTCCTTGGACAACATTGACATCTGTAAGTTTGGACAGTCCTGATGCATCCAGATTTCCTCTGCCCAAGATCTTCCCTTTTCTTCCATCTCCAAATGTCACGTTTTCTCCTTTGGGATTTTCTTCAAATGTAGACAGCATATTGATATCTCCTGTCATATGACGTGAGCATCCACTGTCAAAATACCACCGTTGTTCGCTTGACTTCAGTTCAGAAGTGTATGCCACATTACACCTTGAGACATCTTTTCTTCTCCAGATTTGCCTCCATCTTAGAGTGGGTGGTACCTGATAATTTTGCCAGTAGTAGCAATTCATTCTGATGTGACCTCTTGTTCTGCAGTAGAAACAAGTGCGATGCTCACGATAGTTCTGCAGTCTTTGTCTTGGATATAGATCAATCTTGATCTTTGGAGTCTGTTTTACTTGCGAGATCACTTCATCTCCAAGTTTTCCTTCTGAAACAAAGTTTCCTACTTTGTTTTTACTCCCTCCAGTATATCCAAGTCCAGTATATCCAGAATCTGTTCGCCCGATTGTCAGTAGGTGATCCAATTTTGCAGTGCCATTTCCAAGCATTCTCACATTCTTCATGGTACCTTCCAATTGATTCTGTAATAAGATAATATTTTCCTCTTTCTCCTTTAGTTGCTTCTTCAGACTATCAACTTCTGATACTTTCGTATCTAGCTGCTTCTTGATTTCCAAGATCTTTGCCTCTTTCTCCTTCTGTTCTTCGATCAATCTTGTGTTGATGTCGTACAGCCTTGACATATCCTTGTACAGAACTTCTTCGGATATCTCTTCTTCAGTCTCTTCGATTATTCCAATGAATGCAACAAAATTTGACATATCTTCTGCACTGTCTTCATCAGAATCGGTATCAATCTCTTCATGAGTGATCAGAGATTTACCTCTTGTTTTCCCAATTGCACATTCGTTCTTCGTGTGTTCATACCTGGTTTTTTTCTTAAAACACCAGTTGAATTTTTTCACAATCATCGCCATGTCTTCCTTCAGTGACACTTGGTTGGGAGCCACAGATGATTCTGGAACATGAAGTGCCAACCCCTTGTTTGGAGTCACTCCTTTTGGCTTTTCATATAGTTCCAGTTCTAACTCGTGAGTAGCAAAAGCTCCAACTGTCTCTTTGAAGCTGATAGTATCCACATTGTTTACCATAGTAAAAACAAATTTATGAGACATAAACTTTTTGGGTAAGCTTACCAGGAGCTTTGCCATGAGCTGTTTATCTCGATAGGTCTTTCCAAGGACCTCTGCTTCGTTTGCCAGTGCATTCAGCCTGCCACAGAATCCCTTTACACTCTCATTTTCTCCCATTTGGAGCATATTGAACTGATGCTTGATTAGATCTCTCCTTGTGCGCTTGACACTTGACGTTCCTTCATGAATCAACTCAAGCGCATCCCATGCATCTTTTGCTGATTTGCACCCTTGAATTTGCTTAAACTCATCCTTATCAAATGTATTGAAAATGATGGTTATAGCTTTTGAGTTCAGTGCTGATGCTCGCTTTTCTGAAGGTGTCTACTCAGATCTGGGTTTCAGAACCTCTTTTCCATCCTTCACATCGATTGGGGCACGCCAACCTTCTTCTACCGAACTCCAAGCATCTTCATTAATCTCTTTGATGAGATTCATAGTTTTCACTTTCCAAAAACTATAATTCTCGGAATCGAGGATTGTGGATCTTCCAAGAGACTGAAACTCTTTGAGTGAGTCCATCTTGACTCTTCAACACGTACACTGATATGAGAGGACCTTTTCGCCTACGATCAGTGACCAGCTCTGATACCAATTGAAAAAGTTGAACACTCAAAGAGTAATGCGGAAAACTAATCAGTTCTATTCACTTGAGAAAGATAGTCAAGTACAACTCACTTTTTGTTGTAAGAATCGTACTTACTACACACACCCGAAACTCCCTCTGAGTTTCTTCCCCTCTCACAATGAATTCTACTGATAAAAAAATCTCACAACATAAATCACTCACCAGAGAAAGGAGATTTGCCCAATCGGTCTCTCCCTCAGACTCGCACTCACCAAGGAATGAGAACTCACTCACTTAACGAAATAGACTCAGAAATTATGCTCTTTCTCTCTACCAAGCTGATATACACTTGTCCCTCTATTTAAACTCTTCCGGTTCGTCTTTAGATCTCTACAAAGTGATTTGATCGACTTCTACTTGATTCTTGCTGATCTCGAGTCTATCTTCAAGATCTCGCCTTATCTCTTGTTATTGACTCTATCTCTTCAGCCTTGGACTTTATCTCTTCGGTCTTTGACTCTATCTGAATCTCGTCAGTTGTACCTCAGATTTGTTCGAGTGTGATCTTTGTCGGATTCTTCTTCTGTAATCTCTCATAAGTTGTTGAACCTGCAACAACCTTTTAACAACCAAAAACAACACGTGCAAATACTTGCACTAACACTCTTCACATCCTTCGCTTCCTTTTTTTTCTTTAACCCATGGCTGCCTCTGCAAATGATTTCCTTTCCTCATGTCTAATGTTTGTTGATCTACGCGTCGGTCGTCCAATGCAACGAATTGTTTGTCGATTGTTACGGTTTTGGGAAGCTCGAAATGTCAAGAAAGGTGGTGAACTTATGAGTATTGATTTCCTTCTCATCGACAAAGAGGTATATCACACATCATGATACCTTTTAAAATTTTATTTGTTACTTATTATCACAAATGTTATTTTAATTTTACTGATTATTTTCTTTACCCCTTTTGCTTATCGGTTTATAGTTTACTGTTATTCATGGATCTATAAGCCGACAACGTTTGAGTTGCTTCAAAGATATGTTGCGTGAAGGAGCAGTTTATCTTCTAAGTGATTTTGATGTTGTTAGAGCCAACGACCTCTTCAAGCTAACTGATTTCAAGTTATCTCTTCGTTTCAATGAACGGACTAATATTTTAGAAGTTGATGATACCGCTGTTGTGATACCTAAGGAGATTTTTAGGTTCCGAGACTATGACAAACTGATTGCTTTGGCTAACAAAAATGAAGAATTACAAGGTGCGTTGACATAACATATTATCGATCTATTTTTCCTCATATATTATTAAATTATTTATTAAACGTTACTAATTTTTATATTTTCCTATCCTTACCAAAGATGTCATTGGTCGTGTCCGAAGTATTAGAGATACTCACAATGAACATTCGCTAACCAAGCAAAGAGTTGTTATCGACTTACAGATGGCAATGTATATAAATATTTGAAATATTGTATCTTTCACTATTTATAAATTCTTCAAACAAGTGTTACATTTGTTTTTTATATTTTTGTTTGTATTTCTATTTTTTTGGTTTAATTGTTGTTTAGTGCCAAAGACATGAGAATCGAAAGTAGATGATCTCCGCACAAAATTGGAGAATACATGCATACAACCCAAAGTTATTTTGGTGACCAATATCAATCTTAAATTTGTTGGAGGTAATATTTCATAATGTCCGATTTATTCCTCCCTTTGTTGTTTTTGATAGCGGATATTATAGACTAATATAACAAATTAGTCATACATTTATGTATTACCATATCTGCATGTATTTCCAATTATTATTGTCAAAGTGTATATATTGGTGATCAATGAGAATAGAAGGCAAGGGAGATTTATGCCAAGTTTCATGGTATCAGAGCCTCTCCAAAAATCCTAAACCTAGCGCCTTCTTCTTCTTCTTCTTCTTCTTCTTCTTCTTCTTCTTCTTCTTCTTCTTCTTCTTCAACCTTGTCTTCTTTATTCTTCCCTACGCCATGGCTGCCGAAATTTCCCAATCCGAAAAACCATTCGGTGTGAGTAATATAAAATCCCACATCCCGATCACGCTCGATATGGAAGAATTCAACTACGATGCGTGGAGAGAATTGTTTGAAACCCATTGCCTAAGCTTCGGAGTTATGGGACATCTCGACGGGAGCACCTTACCCACCGACACCGATGACACCTACTGGGCACGCATCGATGGCCTTGTGAAGTAGTGGATCTACGGATCGATTTCACAATCACTACTCACTGCCGTGCTCAAGAAGAAAAGTACCGCTCATGCATTGTGGACGAGCAATCCAACTTGAGCATGAACTTCACACGCTCACCATAGGCGACCTTAATGTTCAGGAGTACTACCAAAAGTTGAAGAAATTGTCGGATCTGTTATCCAACATTGATGCTGAACTTTCAGACCGTGCTCTCGTCATGCATCTAATCACTACTCACTGCCGTGCTCAAGAAGAAAAGTACCGCTCATGCATTGTGGACGAGCAATCCAACTTGAGCATGAACTTCACACGCTCACCATAGGCGACCTTAATGTTCAGGAGTACTACCAAAAGTTGAAGAAATTGTCGGATCTGTTATCCAACATTGATGCTGAACTTTCAGACCGTGCTCTCGTCATGCATCTTCTCAATGACCTCAATGAGAAGTTCTACAACATTGTCATTGTCATCAAACACAAAACACCGTTTCCATCATTTGAAGATGCCCGCTCGATGCTTACCCTTGAAGAGCAGCGACTTTCCAAGAAAACTCGACATCAACCTTCTCATACTGAGCACTCGTCGGCCCCGACTGTTCTTTACACGGCGTCTGCACCGTCATCTCAACCACAACACTCGTGGCCCTCCTCTCCTCGTGGTAGATCTGGCAACCGTAGGGGCCGTCACTCACGTGGCCGTCGATACCACAACAATGGTCCGCACTACGGAAATGCATGGAACCACAACAACTAGCCACAATTCTGGCAACAGCCCTGGACACACCCGGCGTACGGTCCAGGCATTCTTGGTCCTAACCCAAGCCATCCAAATGCAACTCGAGCATCTCTGCCACAATGGCAGTCACCACCATCTTCCACTCCGCCTACAGAACCTGCACAAGCTCTCGCTCAAGCCTTCAATACGATGACTCTGCAAAACCCAGCCGACCATGCCTGGTACATGGACAGCGGCGCCACCTCTCACCTCACGAACCAACCAGGTAACTTACGCACTATTTTTAATTCGAGCATCACTCCCGCCATCATCGTTGGTGATGGTTCTTTAATCCCCACTCATCAATCTGGTCATACCACCATTCCTTCCTCCTCACGCAACCTTGCATTACACAACGTTCTTGTTGCTCCATCTATTATCAAAAACCTTATTTTGGTTCGTCAATTTACCACCGATAATGATTGTTCTATTGAATTTGATCCTCTTGGTTTTTCTGTTAAGGATCGTCCAACACAGCGGACTCTTCTCCGATGTGACAGCACCGACCCTCTCTACCCAATCACCGAACCAAACATATCCGTCACTCGTCCTCAAATTGCATTACTCGCCCCATCCACCACTGGTTGGCATCGTCGCTTGGGTCACACGGGCAACTCTACTTTTCAGCATTTAATTTCTAAAGGTTTTATTCATTGTAATAAGCCCGACATGTCTTCGACTTGTGAAGCTTGTCTCTTGGCAAAAGTGTTCGAATTCCTTTCTTCCGGTCAAATAAGTTGGTTTCGGCTCCTTTTCAAATCATTCATTCGGATGTATGAACCTCACCTATTTTGAGTGTTAGTGGTCTTCGTTATTACGTTGTTTTTCTCGACCATTTTACACAATTCATTTGGATCTATCCACTTCGTCGGAAAAGTGCTGTCTTCTCAAAATTCTTACATTTTCATTCCTATGTCAAAAACCAATTTAAGGCCACGATTCAATCTTTTCAATGTGACCACGGGGGTGAATTTGACAACCATAACTTTCAACGTTTTTTCGATACCCACGGGATCTTGGCTCGTTTTTCTTGTCCCCACACCTCACAACAAAATGACAAAGCTGAACGAATCATTCGAACCATTAACAATCTCATTCAAACTCTTCTTTTCCAAGCTCGTCTTCCTCCGCAATTTTGGGCCGAAGCACTACACATGAGTGCTCACATACTCAACCTGTTGCCGTCCACGGCCATTGATAACTCCTAATTCTCTCTATATTTCCTGGACGTTTCTATAGGATTTAGACGAGGATCATGTGCATTTATAGGAATTCTAGGCGTATTAGGACACAAAACCCGGTTGTGCTCTAGTTTTGCAGAGTTACAGGTTTCGGAGGTGATTGGAACCGAAAAGGAACTATTTAGAGCGTTAAAGGAGATGTCCGGATGAGGTACTCATGTTGCAACGTCGATAACTTTCTCCACAGAAGTCCAAATCGCACGAAACTTCTATCATTGGAAAAAGGACTTCAAGAGCTTCGCGTAGACACCAAAATCGCGTAAATCCGACACCGGAGCAGAAAGTTATGAGCGAAGTTCGACTTGACTCGGCCGAGTCAGAACTTGACTCGGTCCGAGTCAAAACCCGGAAAAAGACCTAATTCGAGTTTTCCTAATTCTGGTGGGAGAAGGACTTTGGGAGCGCCGCCTAGGGTCTATAAAACATGCCTTCAGACGTCCAAGAGGAGCATACAACCTTGAGACAGACTTTATACAGACTTTGGAGAGTTTTGGTGAGAGAAATAAGAGTTTTACGGGATTCCGGGAAGAAGAAGGAGAGTTGGAACGTGAAGATCGCTTGCTGTCGACATGAGTCTTTCTTCTCCCTCTTTTCTTTCTGTTTCTAGTTTTGCTCAGTGTTTTTCCATGAACCGTGAGTAGATCCACGGCTGTGGGTTAGGGATTCGTTTGTGTTTTGGGTATGTTTGAACCCTAACTTGGTTGCGATTTGGATTTGTTTCGGTTTGATCGATTTGTGCTTTATTCGATTGGTGTTTGCTGACCCCTTGGCCAATTATTTCAGATTCTGAACTACATAGGAATATGGGTTTAGTTTCAGATCAAAATCGATAGAATAGATCGTATTATTCACATAGGAATATGGTTCGATCGATCTAGGGTTGATGATAGTGTTCTTCATGCATCTAGTTTGATAAATCACATAGGGATATGGATTTAGAAAACCTTAGATAGGGAGTTATATGCTGGAAGGTGATTTCTCTATTTTTGTTACTTGACGATTCCCGAATACAAATTCAATATCGTGATTCTCCCATGCTTAGCATATACCCATATGCACGAATACGGTCCCGACACCTACGGCCATCTTTGTTTGGTAGTTACACGTTTTATTTGCTTTGCTATTTTACTTTCTTTTGAGTCCATAACACTTCCATCATCGTTACTTCCACTTGCTTGCTTTCGATTTACTTTCGATTAGGATTTAGATTTAGCTACCGGTCCTTTTTTTTTTTTTTCTTTCTTTGATTTTTGCGGATTCACTTGGTTTCGAGTTCTTCTTTTTCTTTGCGATTTGCAGGGTTTTAGTACATGACAAGGATCTCTACTCGGAGAGAAGACCTAGTCTACGATCCGGAGATTGAGCGTACTTTGAGAGACATC